CCGCGGTTATTTTTTTTCTCTAACTGATAACACATTTACATCCGTGCTTATTTAGCTGCAAATGTCGAGTGAGTAACATCTTCATATTGCTTTCGCAACTTAATAGTTATTATTTTAGATCAAGAAATGTGCAATCATTTTTGCGAGGAGTCGAGGTAAACCTGCATGTATATTACTATACGTTTTAACCGTATATTTGTAGAACAAGAAACTACTATTATTTTCGGCGGGATAAACCCAGCGAGGTATAAAACCCCCCATGTATTACGTTTTAATTATATACCTATGTGTAGAACGGAGCGGGGATTTCCAATTATGAATAACAATGTCGGCATCCAAAAAAATAGGGGCGTTGCCGTCGTCGGTCCTCTTCGACGCAAATTTTATGTAAGTAGAGTAAGCGCTTTAATTGTAATAATAAACTTCAAATCGATATTTCAGATCTAAATAAAAACGCCCTACATTTTGTTTTTGTTGTTTTATTTCCCTACCCGCCCCTGTTCTGGTTGTAGGTTAGAATGGGGCCCCCTTGTGTATGTCTCTCAAATGGGGGAGCTACCTCCGAGATGGAATGATAGGTTAGAATTCTCCTCCCTTGCATCTCTCTCCTGAACCCTCGTATCTAACCGTTTGATGTCTCATCAATGCCGGGGCGCCGGTTGAAATTATACTTTCCTATACCTATACGAATCCTAATAGATGGCGACTCCGTTCCGTTAAAATAGGTTAGAATGAGGGACCTCGCACTTGACGACTGAAATTACAATTTCCTACCTCTATATGCATTACGACGCCAATAGATGGCGCCTCCGTACCCTTAAAATAGGTTCGTTATAAATACAACTATCCAAGCATTATATCATACAAGTCTAGTTAGCCTAGTGGTTATGCTATAGGACTTGTAATCCGATGGTTGGCGGTTCGAATCCGTTCCATTTAAAAAAATTTTCAGGAGGTTCGATATAAATACAACTATCCAAGCATTATATCATACAAGTCTAATTAGCTCAGTGGTTATGCTATAGGACTTGTAATCCAATGGTTGGCGGTTCGAATCCGTTCCATTTAACAAATTTTTCAGGGTACGAAGGGGTCGAAGTTTGAGGATTCCAAGATGGCGTCCAAGAACTTGAGGATTCCAAGAACTTGAGGATTCCAAGAACTTGAGGATTCCAAGAACTTGAGGATTCCAAGAACTTGAGGATTCCAAGAACTTGAGGATTCCAAGATGGCGTCCAAATGACGCCTGCGCAAAGATGGTGTCCAAATGACGCCTGCGCAAAGATGGTGTCCAAATGACGCCTGCGCAAAGGGGCGGAGCGCGCATGCGCACTGACCAGAAGTGCTCAAAAAAAGCCCAAACGAACCTTAGAATTCCTTATGGGAAATTACATGTAATTTGGCCGGAAGTTGCGCTAGAACCCGTGCAGCCCCTTTACTCAGTTCAAAATAGTTGATTATTATTTCCTTAGCTGATATATCTGGGGAGTTGATCATTCTTACCAAAAATGTGAAAAAACACCAGTTTTTGTTTTGACTGGTACAGTTGTCCAACCAAAAGTTCAACAGATGAGCATCTCGCTGCCATAATAGAAACGCATAGAATGCGCTGATTATGTCCTCTTTATTACGCCCGGATATGGACTCGTTCCAAAGAACCGCAAATGGTGGTAACTTAGATGTGCTGCCAAGACCAACAAAACTTTCGTTATATGCAATCAACCTTTTACTGAATATTACTTTTTTGAAAGTGTCAATACGAGGCAGCATAATCACTTTCTGAAGGTCCACTGAGACAAAAACGGTACCTTTCTTGGTTGTTTCAGAGGACTGTTTTTTGTACAATTCACGTGACTCCTTTGCTAGTGTGATATGTGTTTTCCACTTGTTACAAACGTCACAGTCTTGTTGGAAATTACTTTCTGAATGTCCATGCAGTTTGAAGTGTTCACACGTTTCACACTCTTCGTGTCCAAGCCTGGCAAATGAAATGTTTTTTTTTCTACTCCTATGTCGTAAACATACCCAAAATGTCACCCTGTACTGCATGTCTAAATCGTTCATTATATCATACGGTTGCATAATGAAAATTAGAACTGTTACTTAATATATATATATTACGAAACAGGTTAAAGGTCAAACGCGAAATGTTAATTTAGTAGGTTGTCAGCCCTGCCTAATGAGTGAAGTAACGTCAGATTTTGTTGTTGTAGGTTATGTTTCACATTTTGTAAACTTCTTTGAACAGAATTACTCATAATTTGTTTAAACATTGCCATTTGTATGAGAATGGAGCCTGTATGTAATTTATTAGCCGTGCCCAATTATTTTTCATAATCGTAATGGGCTACTCAAGAATGGTTTGAAGCTGCGTTTAGCTAATTAAGCAAACTCTGTTGCTACTATTTTGTATTTTAGAAAACTACAATAAGTACTCGAAGAATTGATGGATGGTGCCAATTACGACTTGCATGGAACACGGAATAATGGCACTTTAGAATACTGGGTAGTCCGATGCTTCCTTCCCGGGAAAACTCGTTAAAAGACGCAGCGTTTTGAAGACCTTAGTATTATCGATAGTTAGGTACCTAATACATTGGCAACTGCAACAATAGAAATCATTCAAAACTGTAATGAAAAAGAGCACAAACACCATCTGAGCTAGTTAGGTAGTAATGTTCAACTTCAACACTTGTATCTTGTATCCTATTGGCTATTGCATCTATGGTGCTAAAATGAAACTCACATTGCAGTAAGGAATAGGGATGTAAAAACCCTGCAATACACTTCCAATCTAAGTAAAAAGTATTTATAAAATTCTTGCTCGGTGGCGTGCATTCATGGAATATAAGTGAGGTTACGTTGTATTTTATATTCCTTTTATAGACCATGACATTTGACACTTGACAGTTCTAATTTTTAGTTCGAATATTTAGAACCAAATCAATCGTAATCTATCAATCTTTTATCAATTTTATTCAAGTCGTAGAAAAAGTATAGTACATAATTCGAGTGCTAATGCCTATTACGCACTCGATTTTATTACAACACTCGCTCGCTGCGCTCGCTCGTGTCGCAAAATACTCGTGCGAAATAGGCTTCTTAGCACACTTATTATGCAATATACTATTGTTTTACACGGACTCTATAAGAATCGTAGGAAAGTTTCATATCAGGATACTTAGCCTTAAAATCTTCATACATTGTTGTAATTGGTAGGTATAGTCTGTTAGGAGCGTGTGCTCGTCTGTAATGAGAAATAGTGGCATTGAAACTGTCAATGTGTTCGTTAATGGTATTGTCGTCAAGTTTAAATTTATTTTTTGCTCTACCCCGCCCATCAGGCCTGGCATAAAGTTGATTTTTGGGAGTCTTGGAAAGAGTGTCGTGAAGTAATCGATCGTTGTTTTTGTGAAATCCGAGAGTAGTCAGGAAAAAGGGCTTACGCACTTCACATGTCGATCCATTTTCCATTTTCAAGTAATACTTAAAAGTGTTATTTTTGCGGTAGCTGTCATCACAATCTCGACGTTTTTTAATTTCTAGACGTGAGCACGACATCAAAATGAAGTTCTTTCGTTCTAGAGATTACAACTGCCAAAAATTAGAGTTGATTATTTGCCTGTGTTCGTTTGGAATAAGCAACGAGCACTTTTTCCTGCACCGCTGTATTTGGCATGGAGGAAGTACCTACTCCATGCCTCTCAACTAGCATTTTTATTTGTTTTTCCCTATCCTGTGTCATTTCGCTAGAAGTTCTTTTCCTGTTCCTCTTTCTTGGCTCGCCATTTTTTTTATAACCTTTATTAACCTTAGATTGCACTAATTTAGACAAAGGTATTATATCTTCCTCGCTATCGTCGTGGTCGGTAGCGGTTTCCTTCTCGCCAACTTTCCGATTTTGTTCTGCATCACCTTTCTTTTCTGTCAACTCACTTGAAACATCTTCCTCCTGCGTTCCCTTATCCTCCTCATTATATTGCAGAACATTTTCTACTTCATCTTCTAACGTGTTATTACATTCATCTCCAGAGTACGGCTGAGATTCTTCTATTTCCTGGCATTCGAAATCTTGAATATTGCTTGTGTATACGATGTCACTACTTGTTGGAGGAAAAACTTTGTCATCGACTATTACGCAAGATGTTTTTAATGGCACAAATTGATCAAGTAATCCACTTTCTTGAAGAGGTAACAAAATAGTCAATGTAGGAGGTTCACGATTGAAATCAGTTTTTTCTATCACGCCTGAAGGGGGTGTAAATTTTACGCCGTCCACTGTTCCTACCACCATATAGTTGCAAGACCCACCTTCTGATGCCACAGAATGCTGTCTCGTAGCTAAGTTCATAATTAACTGCAGAGTATAGTAAGGCCGATCCTGGCCCACTTTACATTGAAAAGTGCCATATGAATGAAGTGTTAGCGTTTCAAGGTCAAAGTGGTGTTGAAGGTCAAAGTGGTATTGCGTAAGGGGGGGTGGGTGGATTTCAAGGTCGAGTGTTGAGAAGAAAGGGGTCTATTGTTTGTGTTATTTGGAGGGGGGTGGTGGTGTCGGTTCAAGGCCGTTGGTAAGAGGGGTGATGGCTGAGGCCATTGGATTTCAAGGTCGATTGGTGAAAACAAAGGTGTGTATTGTTTGTGTTGTGGTGCCATATGTTACGAAAATACACAATAACTGCAGGCACCGCACTTTCACCCAATAAATAGCTAAGTAGGTTAATTTGTAAGTAGAGTAGATTACAAGTAGACTGTAAGTAAGGTCAAAGCGAGTGAGCAGTGTGTACCAATAAATGTAGTCGAAGATAGACCGTGTTTTCCTTACAGAAGTTAATAGGAGAGGTTATCACATGGCGATCCTGCCCTTCGAACACCACTACATGAAGTAAGTAAAAAATTACCGGAAAAATGGGGGGCACGCAAACGAAGGAAGAAGTCATCATTGCGCAAGCCGGAAATTCGGGAGGCCAAACCAATGGAGTCACACAGGTATCCATATACGAGATTTTGGGATTGGTCGCTTTTATTGGCGTGGCTGTAATTTTGCTGATCATGATCTGCTGCATAGGGAAGATGATCCAACGGTATGTCCGAAAACAGCTTGCAGTACGTCCCACGGAGATGCAGGTCGTTTGATAGAAGTTTTGACAACGTGTGAGTAACGAAATAAACATTATATTGGGAGAGTTTGTGTAAGTTAAGTTATATAGATATGTTTAAATTAATGTAATGTTAGGGTCATTTAAAAATATCAAAAGTACGTTAGAAGATTTTATAGTGAAGTTACGTAAGGACAATAAAGATAGGCGCACTGATGTTGCAGTCACAAATAGAAAATTAATAGAATTAAATGATATTCGAGCTGACTTGGAAGTTGCGAAAGGTCAGTTTAACGCAATTGAGGGTAAAGGAAAGGCTTACGTAGCAGAAGCACAAACGTTAATAAATTCTATTAATGCTCTGATTGATGAAGTAAATGCAACATTGCAGGATAGGTTAACGTTAGGCAATCCTAAATTGATTAATAATATAATGGGTGAAAAATTTGATTTGAAAGTGGCATCTTCTATGCTTCCAAGTATGGATGGCACAGAAGGTACTACTAAAGCCTTAATTGATGCAATTGAATTATACGATAGCATGCTAGATGATAATGGGAAGTTACTATTAACTAGATTTGTCTTAAAAACAAAATTATCTCAAAGCGCGAAATTGAGGTTAAATAATACGTATGCTAGCAACGCAGATTTAATTACTGCGATAAGGTCAAATTTATTGCCGAAAAAATCAGCCGCAGTTCTGGCCTTTGAACTGCATAGTTTGAAGCAGAGAAACAAATCCGTAGAGGAGTTTGGTAAAAGTATTGAGGAAGCTATGGTAAATTTGACATTAACGCAAGCAGACGGTAGCAAGGATAGGGAAATAGTTTTGGCAAAAACCAATGAGGAAATAGCTATTAATACCTTTGCTAATGGACTGCGTGACAATGATGTAAAAGTCATAGTCAAGTCTAGAAATTATGATAAATTAAGCGATGCTATTAGTGGGGCAAAAAACGAGGAAGTTTCA